AAAAAAAAAAAAAAAAAAGGAAAAATAAATGAAAAACTTTTAAATAGAGAGCGATGCCAGAATCTACCTACCTCAGTGTTAGAGGTAACTAAACTTGTGCTGCATAGCTACAAGGTAATTTAATTCCCTTTCTGGTGAGAGTGCTTGCCACACTAACTCAGGCTTCTGGTGGTCTGATGAGCTTAAAAATAAATTAATATGCTGGGTTCAGTGGCTCATGCTTGTAATCCTAGCACTTTGGGAGGCTGAGAGGGGCGAATCACTTGAGCCTAGGAGTTCCAGTCTAGCATGGGCAACATGGCAAAAAACCATCTCTGCAAAAAATACAAAAATTCTTTAGCACGCCTGTGGTCCCAGCTACTCAGGAGGCTGAGGTGGAAGGATCACCTGAGCCTGGGAGGCAGGAGGTTTGTGAGCCAAAATCATGCCACTGTACTCTAGCCTAAGTGACAGAGTGAGACTTTGTCTCTAAATAAATAAATAATAAAGACACAAGATGACATTTCATCCAAAGCATCAGGCAAAAGCAACTAGTCATTTAGCACTGTTTACCTACGTATGGGTTTAGGAAGTAATAGTACCACTCATACAAGTTTATCTATTAGTTCTCTTCATGTTCCCACCCCATTTAAATAGCAGGAGATTCCTTTGCTGGAAGTAGATTCTAGCAATGCTTCCCAAGGAGTCAGTAAATCAGAATCACCTGGGAGCTTTTAAAAGTACTGTGAGGCTGGGCACGGTGGCTCACACCTGTAATCCCAGCACTTTGGGAGGCTGAGGCAAGAAGATCACCTGAGGTCAGGGGTTCAAGACTATCCTGACCAACAAGAAAAAGCCCTGTCCTACTAAAAACACAAAACTCACTGGGCATGGTGGCGCGTGCCTGTAATCCCAGCTACTCGGGAGGCTGAGGCAGGAGAATTGCCTGAACCCAGCAGCGGAGGTTGCGGTGAGCCGAGATTGCGCCATTGCACTCCAGCCTGGGCAACAAGAGGGAAATTTCATCTAAAACAAAAAACTGTGTACAGATTTCTGTGTCACATTTCAGACCTAATGACATGCCAAGACCAACTACGGGTGATCTATTATACTAACCTTGGTTCAAATCCCTTGTCTTCCACTTTACGTTTTTTTTTTTTCAGACACAGTCTCACTCTACCACCCAGGCTGCTGGAGTGCAGTGGTGTAAGCTCACTATAACCTCAAACTCCTAGGCTCAAGTGATCCCCCTGCCTCAGCCTCCATGGAACCATAGGTGTATGCCACCATTTTTTTTTTTTAAGAGACAGGGTTTCACCATATAGGTCAGCCTGCTCTCGAACTCTGAACCTCAGGTGATCCTCCCGCCTCGGCCTCCCAAAGTACTGGGATTACCCGCGTGAGCCACTGGGCCGGCCCAACATTTAGGTTCTTTTTTTTTGAGACGGAGTTTCACTCTTGTTACCCAGGCTGGAGTGCAATGGCACGATCTCGGCTCACCGCAACCTCCGCCTCCTGGGTTCAGGCAATTCTCCTGCCTCAACCTT